CAGTTACACGTATATAACGTTACACCACAGTTAAACGTATGTAACGTTACACCAGAGCTACACGTATGTAACGTTACACCACAGCTACACGTATGTAACTTTACACCACAGTTACATGTATGTAACGTTACACCAAAGATTCATGTATGTAACTTTACACCACAGTTACAATATAACGTAACACCACAGCTACACGTATTTAACGTTGCACCACAGTTACATGTATGTAACGTTACACCACTGTTACATGTATGTAATGTTACACCACAGCTACATATATGTAACGTTAAACCACAGTTATTATATAATGTTACACCACAGTTACATGTATGTAACGTTACACCACAGTTACACGTATGTAACGTTACACCACAGTTACATGTATGTAACGTTACACCACAGTTACACGTATATAACGTTACACCACAGTTAAACGTATGTTACGTTACACCACCGTTATATTTATGTAACGTTATACCACAACTACATGTATGTAACGTTACATCACAGTTACGTGTATGTAAGGTTACAACACAGTTACACGCATGTAACGTTACACCACAGCTACACGTATGTAATGTTACACCACAGTTTACTTGTATGTAACGTTACACCACAGCTACATGTATGTAACGCTACACCACAGTCACATATATGTAACTTTACACCACAGTTACGTGTATATAACGTTACACCACAGTTACACGTATGTAACGACACCAAAGTTACACGTATGTAACGTTATACCAGAGCTACATGTATATAACGTTACACTACAGTTACACGTATGTACCGTTACACCACAGATCCAGGTATGTAACTTTACATCACAGTTACACGTGTATAACGTTACACCAAAGGTACAATGTAACGTTACACCACAGTTACATGTATGTAACGTTACACCACAGATACATGTATGTAACGTTACACCATTGTTACATGTATGTAATATTACACCACAGCTACATATATGTAACGTTACACAAGAGTTATAATATAACGTTACACCAAAATTACATGTATGCAACGTTACACCACAGTTACACGTATGTAACGTTACACCACAGTTACATGTATGTAACGTTACACCACAGTTACACGTATATTACGTTACACCGCAGTTACATTTATGTAACGTTACACCACAACTACATGTATGTAACGTTACATCACAGTTACGTGTATGTAAGGTTACACCACAGTGACACGTATGTAACGTTACACCACAGCTACACGTATGTAATGTTACACCACAATTTACTTGTATGTAACGTTACACCACAGCTACATGTATATAACGTAACACCACGGTTACATGTATGTAACGTTACACCACAGTAACATATATGTAACTTTACACCACAGTTACGTGTATGTAACGTTACACCACAGTTACACGTATGTAACGACACCACAGTTACACGTATGTAACGTTATACCAGAGCTACATGTATGTAACGTTACACCACAGCTTCATGTATATAACGTTACACCACAGTTACATGTATGTAACGTTACACCAAAATTACATGTATGTAACGTTACACCAGTTACATGTATGTAACGTTATACCAGAGCTACACGTATGTAACGTTACACAATATATACAGGTATGTAACGTTACATCACAGTTACATGTATGTAACGTTACACCACAGGTAAATGTATGTAACGTTACATCACAGCTACATGTATGTAACGTTACACCATAGTTACGTGTATGTAACGTTACACCACAGTTACACGTATGTAAAGTTATACCACAGCTACATGTATGTAACGTTACACTACAGTTACACGTATGTAACGTTACACCACAGTTACAAGTATGTAACGTTATACCACAGTCACATATATGTAACGTTACTCCACAGCTACATGTATGTAACGCTACACCACGGTTACACGTATGTAACCTTACACCACAGTTACACGTATGTAACGTTACACCACAGCTACCCCTATGTAACCTTACACCACAGTTACGTGTATGTAACGTTATACCAGAGCTACATGTATGTAACGTTACACAGTATATACATGTATGTTACGTTACATCACAGTTACATGTATGTAACATTACACCACAGCTAAATGTATGTAACCTTACACCACAGCTACATGTATGTAACGTTACACCATAGTTACGTGTATGTAATGTTACACCACAGTTACACGTATGTAACGTTACACCACAGTAACATGTATGTAACGTTACACCATAGTTACGTGTATGTAATGTTACACCACAGTTACACATATGTAACGTTACACCACAGCTACCCGTATGTAACCTTACACCACAGTTGCACATATGTAACGTTACACCACAGCTACATGTATGTAACGTTACATCACAGTTACGTGTATGTAACGTTACACCATAGTCACACGTATGTAACGTTACACCACAACTACACGTATGTAACGTTACACCACAGTTTACTTGTATGTAACGTTACACCACAGCTACATGTATGTAACGTAACACCACGGTTACATGTATGTAACGTTACACTACAGTCACATATATGTAACGTTACAACACAGTTACGTGTATGTAACGTTACAACACAGTTACACGTATGTAACGTTACACCACAGTTACACGTATGTAAAGTTATACCACAGCTACATGTATGTAACGTTACACTACAGTTACACGTATGTAACGTTACACCACAGTTACATGTATGTAACGTTACACCACAGTCATATATATGTAACGTTACACCACAGTTACGTGTATGTAACATTACACCACAGCTACACGTATGTAACGTTACACCACAGCTACATGTATGTAACGTTACTCCACAGCTACATGTATGTAACGCAAAACCACAGTTACACGTATGTAACGTTACACCAGAGCTACACGTATGTAACGTTACACCACAGTTACACGTATGTAACTTTACACCACAGTTACACGTATGTAACGTTACACCACAGTTACGTGTATGAAACATTACACCACAGCTACATGTATATAACGTTACATCACAGCTACATGTATGTAACGTTACACCACCCAAGGAATGAGCGCCCGCTCTTGATACAGCTATTGTCACGTTACAGTAAATACTTGATCAATGAGATTTTCAGTAACTGTGACTCTGGTAACAAAGCACAGTTGGAAGACTGGTGTTCGGAATTTATCACTCAAACCGAGGAAATATCATCAGTATTCAATATGAAGGCAGTCTGGTGCTAAACTAGAATGTTACAATAACCGCTCGCAAGAATACACCCTAATCTCGTTAGTAAAACGCTGGTACAATACAGATTAGACAGTCTGTGTGTTTACATAAGGGGGACTGTACACAGATCTTTAGAGATTAAATGGAATCTCTTTCTGTAACTTGTCTATTTTTATTGCATTTTATCGAAAATCGATTTGTGCTCTATCAGTAACGCAACATTAGGAACTTAATTTCTGATAACATTATTAATGAATTCCGCTTTATAGAAAGACATTTTGTGGAAGACAAAATCGTTTTCCTGCCAGATAAAAACTGCGAGTAACATTTACTTGTTTTGCCGATTAATCTTCTGACGTATATCTCCTTTAAACATCTGTTTTTTTTTAAATACATCTTTAACAAATAATGTTGTGCGTATAAGGGTTAAGGTCTCAATTACATGTATGCAGTACGGGGAAGGCAGTCTGTCATACAATATTTAAGTTACATGTATACAGTACGGGGAAGGCAGTCTGTCATACAATATTTAAGTTACATGTATACAGTACGGGGAGGGTAGTCAGTCTAACAATATTTAAATTACATGTATACAGTACGGGGAGGGTAGTTAGTCTAACAATATTTAAATTACATGTATACAGTACGGGGAAGGCTGTGTGTCAAACAATATTTAAGTTACATGTATACAGAACGGGGAGGGTAGTCAGTCTAACAATATTTAAATTACATGTATACAGTACGGGGAAGGCTGTGTGTCAAACAATATTTAAGTTACATTTATACAGTACGGGGAGGGTAGTCAGTCTAACAATATTTAAATTACACGTATACAGTACGGGGAAGGCTGTGTGTCAAACAATATTTAAGTTACATGTATACAGAACGGGGAGGGTAGTCAGTCTAACAATATTTAAATTACATGTATACAGTACGGGGAAGGCTGTGTGTCAAACAATATTTAAGTTACATTTATACAGTACGGGAAGGGCAGTCTGTCTAACAATATTTAAATTACATGTATACAGTACGGGGAGGGCAGTCTGTCAAACAATATTTAAGTTACATTTATACAGTACGGGGAGGGCAGTCTGTCTAACAATATTCATGTTACATGTATACAGTACGGGGAGGGTAGTCTGTCAAACAATATTTATGTTACATGTATATAGTACGGGGAGGGCAGTCTGTCAAACAATATTTAAGTTACATGTATACAGTACGGAGAGGGCATTCCGTCAAACAATATTTATCTTACATGTATACAGTACGGGGAGGGTAGTCTGTCAAACAATATTTATGTTACATGTATATAGTACGGGGAAGGCAGTCTGTCTAAAAATATTTAAGTTACATGTATACAGTACGGGGAGGGCATTCCGTCAAACAATATTTATCTTACATGTATACAGTACGGGGAAGGCATTCTGTCAAACAACATTTAAGTTACTATTACAGTAATCCACCATTGTTATATATCTGGTTCCATGTATAGCTTGTTTCTATATCTGAAATTGTTTTAACTCATACAGGATACCTGATTAATATTGTTCGAATTTATTTGATGTAAAGGGATGTAAATATAAATACTGAATCGTTTTCTGAGATAACTGTAATGTTGTCTATTGACAAACCAAAGGTTTTAGATACTGTATCCCATGTGGTTTACTAGAAGGTCAATTGAAGTTGTAGAAATTATTTCATCAGAAAACACATTAACAATGTGACGTATAAGGACGTTTTTAGCACTTACATGTCACCCGCTTTGTATCATTCTTCTCGTTGCTTTTTCAGTTACACAGCCTGATTCACCAACACAACATGTCCCGCCTTTTTGAACAGACGGGAATTACAGTGTTTGCCCCTTACAGTACAGCTTTCCTGTATTATGATGAAATGCATTATGGATATAATATGGCTGACCCGGATATGGCAGAGAGTTTTCTTTCGTTTCATATTGGTAAGATACCCAACCATTTATGTCTGATCTCACTCTAACTTACCCAACGATATATATATATATATATATAAATACAGAATTATACAGTTTAATACATAGTTATACTGTTTACTACATAATAATACTGTTACTCCATAATTATACTGTTTACTACATAGTTCTACTGTTACTACATAGTTATACTGTTTACTATATAGTTATACTGTTTACTACATAGTTATGCTGTTACTATATAGTTATACTGTTTAATACATAGTTATGCTGTTACTATATAGTTATACTGTTTACTACATAGTTATACTGTTTACTATATAGTTATACTGTTTACTACATAGTTATGCTGTTACTATATAGTTATACTGTTTATTACTACATAGTTCTACTGTTACTATATAGTTATACTGTTACTACATAATTATACTGTTTACTATATAGTTCTATTGTTACTACATAGTTATACTGTTTACTACATAGTTATGCTGTTACTACATAGTTCTACTGTTTACTACATAGTTATGCTGTTACTACATAGTTATACTGTTTACTACATAGTTATACTGTTTACTACATAGTTCTACTGTTTACTACATAGTTATGCTGTTACTACATAGTTATACTGTTTACTACATAGTTATACTGTTTACTACATAGTTATGCTGTTACTACATAGTTATACTGTTACTATATAGTTATACTGTTTACTACATAGTTCTACTGTTTACTACATAGTTATGCTGTTACTACATAGTTATACTGTTACTACATAGTTATACTGTTACTATATAGTTCTACTGTTTACTACATAGTTATGCTGTTACTACATAGTTATACTGTTTACTACATAGTTATACTGTTTACTACATAGTTATACTGTTTACTACATAGTTATGCTGTTACTACATAGTTATACTGTTACTATATAGTTATACTGTTTACTACATAGTTCTACTGTTTACTACATAGTTATGCTGTTACTACATAGTTATACTGTTACTACATAGTTATACTGTTACTACATAGTTATACTGTTTACTACATAGTTATACTGTTACTATATAGTTATGCTGTTACTACATAGTTATACTGTTTACTATATAGTTATACTGTTTACTACATAGTTATACTGTTTACTACATAGTTATGCTGTTTACTACATAGTTATACTGTTTACTACATAGTTATGCTGTTACTACATAGTTATACTGTTTACTACATAGTTATACTGTTTACTATATAGTTATACTGTTTACTACATAGTTATACTGTTTACTACATAGTTATGCTGTTACTACATAGTTATACTGTTTACTACATAGTTATACTGTTTACTATATAGTTATACTGTTACTACATAATTATACTGTTTAATGCATACGTAGTATCCTTAAGTGGCGGGAATTTCAATTTGTTCAAATTTAATTACAGGACTACTACTAATACGATGGGGTGTTATGACGGACCGTTATCGTCTTTGGTTTTCTTTACAATCATGGCTGTTGAGCCAATCTTCTAATTTGATTCTTTCTCTTATAAACGGATATTTGAAATTATGTCAATTTACACACGTTGGACTTGCTCTACAATACTCACAGCTATTGTAGATTTACGATGCTGCTTTTGGTATGTTTTCCTGACTATTTGTTAAGTAGTGCAAAAATATTGGTATTGATTTTTTTCCTTTTTTCAGCGCAAGGAATCATATATGAAAGTGACATAATAGACAATAGAGCAACCGATTCCACTCATACGTCAAACTCTAAACTTCATTTTAATACGTTTACAGACGGGAATGATCTCGTAAGTTTATCACGTGACATGTCATCAATTCATATTTCTTCATTATTGGTGTTCATTGAGTTTCATCACAAAATTGCCTGCTTTTTCTCTGTTTATATCTTAAATCGTTTTCATTTATCGATGTATTCTTATAGATATTTTGACATGATTTGAACTGTCGCCTTCATAATGAAACAGACCAATGGATAGAGTTCATGTCCTCTCTTTCTGTGGATACAAGTAGAGCTATGCTGTAGTAGTTCGTTCTATAATGATATATTTCGACTGTACTATAATGAATAAAATACAAAGATTTTGTTTAAGGTAAAATCGGTAAATGGTGCTGTTCTCATCAACATGGATCTTGTCGCTTCAAACGGAGTGCTTCATATTATTGATAAAGTTATTGCCCCTATTGCAAGCAATAAAACACTGCACGATTATATGCTTAAGCCGGAAATGCCAAATCTATCGTTTGTGTAAGTATGACACTTAATTAAAATTCAGTTTAACTGGAATAATTTCGTTAGAAATCAATCAGTAATAAGTAGATAGTTAATAAATCTAGTTATTTTATTCAAGTTTATTTATTTATATCTTTTTTCTCTATCTACTTACTTATATATGTATATTATACTTATATAATGCGGAAAGATTCCAAAGATATTTGATTTCGTTTGCTTTAAGCAAATTGATGAATAAATTGGTGCGACCAAATGTCGGCTTCTAAGTAAATATTTTAGAAAAGAAATGCATGTTTAACTGCATTTTGAATTATACAGTGATACTATGGTCAAATTGTACAGACGGTGATACGTTTGTTTATAGTAATCTATATGTGTGCGTACATTAACCATACTTAGGTTAGAATTGATTTATTATTTGAAAATGTTTATATTCTTTTATAGTTCAGTGACCAGGGCCTCTATTGTTGACATGAGCCTGAAGAACAGAACTCGCAATAACAACTATCAGTTCACAGCCTTCGCTCCAAATGACTCTGTCTTGTTCCCCATGCCTGCCTATGGACAGGATGTCTTATTTGATGACGCTTCCCTTTTGAAATCGGTACGTCTGAATCTAATCACATCTTTCTCCGCATCGTGTCTTATTTAATTCGATGAAGCTGAAGACGCTTTCGCTTCCGAAACACCTGGTCTTATTCTCCTTGTAGTTTTTCAGGAGTCTCTATGTAGATATTTCTTTTGTTCATATTTTTTTTGATAATATGATTTAAGTAATCAGTATATGTATATCTCATAAAGAGGGGGCCTTTCAGACAGGAACACGTTATGGCACAGATCAGTTGTTCTTCAGTTCGGAATAATTTCTTGATAAAATTTGACTGCTTCATAACATATATGAATTAATGAATGCTAGAAATGGCTACCTGTTTCTATTTTCTGACCCCTCTCGTTCCAGAATCTTGTGAATTAAGAATGTTAAAAATCTCAGCCTCTATCCGTTTTGAGTCCTCTTTCGCCTCCGAATCTCGTAAACTAAATGTATTTAAAGTCTCGATTTATATATTATCTGTTTTTTTACCATTCCCGTCCCTGAATCTCGTGAATTAAAAGTGTTGTGTATTGTAGGTAATACAGGCCCATATGATCCCGGACTTTATACAGTTTCTGCCAAGTAGAGGAACCGTCCTGCCCAGGATAGCTACTGCAGGTGCTGTCAAGTATGAACGAAGAAATGGAGAACGTATGTAGATTATTAAACCATGTTTTTTAATCATTATTTGCAATAGCTACTAGCATATGTCACCGGGTATAGTTGGGGAGCATAGGAGTGAAAAGAGCCAAAATGGAGGGCGGGGAATCGATACTGATCCCATCAATGTTTCCCAAATGGAATACATTGACAGAAATCCCAATAAAGACGAATATTAACTGTAAGATAAAAAAAAAAAGTTTCATGTTAAAAAGTGTATTGATCCTGGATATCATCTTGTATAAAAGTGTTTATTATCCTTGTATAACACTATCTGTCATCACAAATCACATTAAAGGTAAAAGACGAGCGGTGTCAACAGCTATTTTACATTTTAAACTTTAAAATTATACGCTGTGAAAGGGTGAAGCTTCTAAATACTGTTTCCTTTAATCCCACGAGAAGATGTCTATGATTCAGCCTTGAAATACCACACCGACGACAACCGTAACCTTATATCTGTTACATCATAGTTATACATACATATGTTGGATATATAATATCAATAGGTCTACGTATCCGTTTATTGTATAGATAATCGTGTATCTGACATAGAATTACGTTTTTTTCAGTCTACGTGATGAATAATAAAGTTCGAGCCCGAGTCGTGGAAGCCAACATCCCTGTCTCAAATGGTGTGATACACGTCATAGACAATCTTCTTTATTTTGTCTATATGAACATCATACAAAAATTGAAAGAAATGGCGGAAACAAAGTAAGTCACGTGACAGGTTACAACACTATAGGCCAGAAATATTAGTTAAACAGTAAGCAAATGTACACGTTAGGAAACCAATATATATATATATATATATATACATACGGGTGATAACACTATATGTGAGAGAAATAAGATATACAGGTGACATCACTATGTGTTTGTGATATATAATATACAGGTGACATCACTATATGTTTGGGAAATAGAATATATACATGACATCACGTTTCCATGTGTGCACTTTGTATCCAGATCTATTAAACCTTTGACATTTTTTCTAGGAAGGCTATTGGATTATACCTTGATAAACTTCCCGTATCTACACAGTCATTGCTGACAAATACAGATGTCAAATTTACTGTTTTTGCACCGACGGACGAAGCTTTTGCGAAAATTCCCATCTTGAACCAGGAAGAATTGTCAAATGATGTGTCATTATTATCGGAGGTAAAAAATGTTTGTGCAATTGCTAAAACGCTTAAGTCAACACGACACTTCCTTATATTAAGTAATCATGATGGTTGGGAAACCTTAATATTCTACAGGATTTATAGCATTCATCATAGATTAGAGTTCGACCTCTCAATGTCAAAATATTCTACAGGATTTACAGCATTCATCATAGATTAGAGTTCGACCTCTCAATGTCAAAATATTCCAATGAATCATGTCCAGAATATTTTGTTGGATAATATTGTTTAAGCATCTGTGAACATAAGCAAACGGTTTTTTTTTTATTTCTATTTTTTGTTAAGTATTTAACTTTCCGTTTCGTCTTTTCTGGTTTAAATAAAACGAATGACTACATTAAATCGGTAACTAAAATTACATCTTAAGATGTTACATACATCAGATATTTTGTTATAAAAATAAGAAATTTTGTTACAAACATAAGATATTTTGTTACATACATAAAATATTTTGTTATCAAAATAAGAAATTTTGTTACAAACTTAAGATATTTTGTTACATGCATCACATTTTGTTATAAAAAAAAGAAATTTTGTTACAAACATAAGATATTTTGTTACATACATCAGATATTTTGTTACATACATCAGATATTTTGTTATAAAAATAAGAAATTTTGTTACAAACATAAGAAATTTTGTTACATACATCAGATATTTTGTTATCAAAATAAGAAATTTTGTTACAAACATAAGATATTTTGTTACATAAAATATTTTGTTACATACATAAGACATTTTGTTACATACATAAAATATTTTGTTACATCCATCAGATATTTTGTTACATCCATCAGACATTTTGTTACAAATATAAGATATTTTGTTACATACATGAGATATTTTGTTACAAACATAAGATATTTTGTTACATAGATAAGATATTTTGTTACAAACATAAGATATTTTGTTACATACATAAGACATTTTGTGGCAAACATCAGATATTTTGTTACATACATAAGACATTTTGTTACAAATATAAGATATTTTGTTACATACATGAGATATTTTGTTACAAACATAAGATATTTTGTTACATAGATAAGATATTTTGTTACAAACATAAGATATTTTGTTACATACATAAGACATTTTGTGGCAAACATCAGATATTTTGTTACATACATAAGACATTTTGTGGCAAACATCAGATATTTTGTTACAAACATAAGATTTTTTGTTACAAACATAAGATATTTTGTTACAAACATAAGATATTTTGTTACATACATGAGATATTTTGTTACATACATAAGATATTTTGTTACAAACACAAGATATTTTGTTACATACATGATATATTTTGTTACATACATAAGATATTTTGTTACAAACATAAGATATTTTGTTACATAGATAAGCTATTTTGTTACAAACATCAGATATTCTGTTACATACATGAGATATTTAGTTACAAACATCAGATATTTTGTTACATACATAATACATTTTGTTACAAACATAAGATATTTTGTTACAAACATAAGATATTTTGTTACATACATAAGATATTTTGTTACAAACATAAGATATTTTGTTACATACATCAGATATTTTGTTACAAACATAAGATATTTTGTTACATGCATCACATTTTGTTACAAACATAAGATATTTTGTTACAAACATAAGATATTTTGTTACATACATAAGATATTTTGTTACAAACATTAGATATTTTGTTACATACATTAGATATTTTGTTGCATACATTAGACATTTTGTTACATACATTAGACATTTTGTTACATAGATAAGATATTTTGTTACAAACATAAGATATTTTGTTCATACATGACATAGTTTTTTACATACATAAGATATTTTGTTACAAACATAAGATATTTTGTTACAAACATCAGATATTTTGTTACATACATAATACATTTTGTTACAAACATAAGATATTTTGTTACATACATGAGATATTTTGTTACAAACATCAGATATTTTGTTACATACATCAGATATTTTGTTACATCCATCAGATATATTGTTACATACATAAGATATTTTGTTACCTACATCAGATATTTTGTTACAAACATAAGATATTTTGTTACATACATTAGATATTTTGTTACAAACATAAGACATTTTGTTACATAAATCAGAAATTTTGTTACAAACATAAGATATTTTGTTACATAGATAAGATATTTTGTTACATAGATAAGATATTTTGTTACATACATAATACATTTTGTTACAAACATAAGATATTTTGTTACATAGATAAGATATTTTGTTACAAACATAAGATATATTGTTACAAACATCAGATATTTTATTACAAACATCAGATATTTTGTTACATACATCAGATATTTTGTTACATACATCAGATATTTTGTTACATGCATCAGATATATTGTTACATACATAAGATATTTTATTACAAACATGAGATATCTTGTTACAAACATCAGATATTTTGTTATATACATCAGATATTTTGTTACATACATCAGATATTTTGTTACATACATCAGATATTTTGTTACAAACATCAGATATTTTGTTATATACATCAGATATTTTGTTACATACATCAGATATTTTGTTATATACATAAGATATTTTGTTACATACATAAGATATTTTGTTACATACATAAGATATTTTGTTACAAACATCAGATATTTTGTTACAAACATCAGATATTTTGTTACATACATCAGATATTTTGTTATATACATCAGATATTTTGTTACATACATCATATATTTTGTTACATACATTAGATATTTTGTTACATACATCAGATATTTTATTACAAACATCAGATATTTGTTACATACATCAGATATTTTGTTACATACATCAGATATTTTGTTACAAACATAAGATATTTTATTACAAACATCAGATATTTTGTTACATACATCAGATATTTTGCTATATACATCAGATATTTTGTTACAAACATCAGATATTTAGTTACATACATTAGATATTTTGTTACATACATCAGATATTTTGTTACATACATCAGATATTTTGTTACATACATTAGATATTTTGTTACATACATCAGATATTTTGTTACATAGATCAGATATTTTGTTACATACATAAGACATTTTGTTACATACATAAGATATTTTGTTACATACATAAGATATATTGTTACAAACATCAGATATTTTATTACAAACATCAGATATTTTGTTACATACATCAGATATTTTGTTACATACATCAGATATTTTGTTACATGCATCAGATATATTGTTACATACATAAGATATTTTATTACAAACATGAGATATCTTGTTACAAACATCAGATATTTTGTTATATACATCAGATATTTTGTTACATACATCAGATATTTTGTTACATACATCAGATATTTTGTTACAAACATCAGATATTTTGTTATATACATCAGATATTTTGTTACATACATCAGATATTTTGTTATATACATCAGATATTTTGTTATATACATAAGATATTTTGTTACATACATAAGATATTTTGTTACAAACATCAGATATTTTGTTACAAACATCAGATATTTTGTTACACACATCAGATATTTTGTTATATACATCAGATATTTTGTTACATACATCATATATTTTGTTACATACATTAGATATTTTGTTACATACATCAGATATTTTATTACAAACATCAGATATTTGTTACATACATCAGATATTTTGTTACATACATCAGATATTTTGTTACAAACATAAGATATTTTATTACAAACATCAGATATTTTGTTACATACATCAGATATTTTGCTATATACATCAGATATTTTGTTACAAACATCAGATATTTAGTTACATACATTAGATATTTTGTTACATACAACAGATATTTTGTTACATACATCAGATATTTTGTTACATACATTAGATATTTTGTTACATACATCAGATATTTTGTTACATAGATCAGATATTTTGTTACATACATAAGACATTTTGTTACATACATAAGATATTTTGTTACATACATAAGATATTTTGTTACATAAGATATTGTGTTATATAGATAAGACATTTTGTTACATACATCAGATATTTTGTTACATACATAAGATATTTTGTTACATACATAAGATATTTTGTTACATACAGAAGATATTTTGTTACATACAGAAGATATTTTGTTGCATAGATAAAACATTTTGTAATATACATGTTGCGTATATGATCGAAAGATTTTTGTCTTTTCTCGAAATGTATCTTGTTAGATTGATGTGTAATCCGATTTCCGTATCTATTGCACCAAGAAAACTACACAAGTCTAAATCTGAATCACATTTTTTCAATATCGTGGACTATTTTTAGGTTTTGGAAACTCATATTATCCCAGATGTAGAGATAGTTGGTTACAACATTCCTCGGTATGACGTGCTTACGTCATTAAGCAACAGAACCATCCGGGTACTTCAGATACATGACGGTACGTTCACAACACATGATGTCATTATGAGGTAGATGATCAACGTTTTGTATACGGTAATATGTCGCCATTTTGATGATGTGACTGCTAAACAAACGGTGTGTTATACCTGATAATAACTCATGTGTCCAGATAAAAGCTCCATAACGAGAGAGAGTAAGGTGTATTCCATTATAACACACCATTTCATCATTACACCGGAAACGTAAGTCATTGAAAAGTCACAACAGTTCACGAAGTATTTAAGAAGAGTTTTATGTAAATCGCAAAAATACGATACAGTTGATCTAGATTTCTGTTCTGTTACAGAGGTGTTTGTAGAAGCCGGAGGAGTACAGTCTAAAGTTGAGATGACAGATATTAAGTGTACGAACGGTATTATTCATCTGATCACCAATGTCCTTCTCATTCGGAACTTCTCTATATGGGAGGCTATTTCGGGAATTGCTCAACTTCAGTACGTTGTTTTTATGTATTTTAACTCTTTAAAGTCACCATGAATGCACCAGAGACAATTATCAACTAAATAAAATCTTTAATGTGTTGGAGAAAATGGTCTTTTGATTTAAGAACAAACGAGGATTTTTTTTAAAGAATGATGTATTATTTCTTATCGCAGATACGCTTCTAAGGAGATTTCAAAGGATCAGCCTTTACACTCAATATTGTCTGGAACAGAGGAAGGTTACGGAAAACTCACAATGTTCATCCCAGGTGACGCAGGCATATTCAAAATCCCCGAGAGAACACGTGACTACTTAAATAGCGACCCTACTATTGTAATAAATGTAAGTAATCTATCTCAGTGACATACATCAATGTAGCATACGTATACACCACGGTATGGGAAATCGCTGAGAAGCTTACTGTGGGAGAAAATCGGAACCCGGGCAAAACCCACAGGCAGGTGACCACTTACCTTTTCACGTCGATTTGAGAAACCGAACCCCGGACAGCTAGGTGTATGCGTTAATCTAGCTCCACCTGACCACCCAAAAGCATGTTCTTCAGTGAGAAACTGAAAATACTAATGATTATTTATATTGTTGTTGATAAACTAGAAAGTTTATGAAAAATCTCTCACGCTTATTTGATAAAAAAAAACAATTATATGTCGTTCTTACTTTAGGCTTTACGAAGTCATCTGTTTCGGGGAGAGCTTCCATCTTATGACGTCACGTCGATGACTGTCAAAAAAACCATTGGTGGAAAAGACATTGAGGTACAGAATCATAAAGGTGAGGTGAATGTTTTATAACAATGGAACAACAGATATCTTTTTACCGTAAGGCAGATTAATACGTTATAATAATTAGAAGAACATTATATGATACGTAATAAAGTAAAATATCACATCGATAACAGTTACTTTACTCTTAGTAATTTCATTATTAACCGTAATGTACAAACTATTAGGACTTGTTATCATAGTCAAGGTTATTACCTAATGTACTTTATGAACGAAACGTTTAGAACGTCAAATTGATGTGTTGTCCTTTTGTAAATATTGAGAAGTGTCTGTACGGCTGTTGTCCTTTGTAAATATTGAGAAGTGTCTGTACGGCTGCTGTTGTTGTTTCTAAATATTGAGGAGTGTCTGTACGGCTGTTGTTCTTTGTAAATGTTGAGAAGTGTCTGTACGGCTGTTGTCCTTTGTAAATATTGAGAAGTGTCTGTACGGCTGTTGTTCTTTGTAAATATTGAGAAGTGTCTGTACGGCTGTTGTCCTTTGTAAATATTGAGAAGTGTCTGTACGGCTGTTGTTCTTTGTAAATATTGAGAAGTGTCTGTACGGCTGTTGTCCTTTGTAAATATTGAGAAGTGTCTGTACGGCTGTTGTTCTTTGTAAATATTGAGAAGTGTCTGTACGGCTGTTGTCCTTTGTAAAGGTTCTTTGTAAATATTGAGAAGTGTCTGTACGGCTGTTTGACAGGTTTCGTCGTGACGGGCAGTCACATCTTCGCCAAGGTGGTAGTCAAGGATATCTGGTGTTCTAATGGGGTTATACATATCATTGACGACCTACTTCATGTGCCTACTCGTAACATCCTGGAACAGATGTCACGATATACCGATTTGGAGTGAGTAATTTTGGTATTCTATCGAGAGTAACTTTCTCAACATATCGAATGACCGTAAGATTTATGCTGTGATATTTCGGTAAACAATCAGCAATTAACATATAGATGAATGAATGAAACAATTTGGGGAATGATTTACCCTTTAAGGTATTAATACATTCTTAACGGCCCGTCAAAATATAAAAAGCTCATTAGGGCCATCAGCTTGTAAAACACAGCGCGATCCAAAAAGGAAATAACATCCAACAAAAATGATAAAAATCTCCAATTTTAAGGTAAAGTGTATGGGTTTTTTTTCTGTCATGAGAAATAAGAGGAAAAATTGTTTATAGGTACATCACTAACAGATATAGAAATAATTTCATATTTCACTAAAACATATCACGTGATGTAAATCATTTGACATTATTAGAAAAAACAAGGAAAGGATTAACTTTGTCAATCCTACTGAAGTGAGACAAGAAAAGATTTACACTGTCATCAAACGAGAATAGAAAAAAAGAGGAAAGGAAAAAATGTGAGGAAGGGGTTAACATTTTATGGTAAATGTGAGGAAGGCGTTAACATTTTATCGTAAATGTTAGGAAGGGGTTAACATTTTATGGTAAATGTGAGGAAGGTGTTAACATTTTATTGTAAAATGTGAGGAAGGTGTTAACATTTTATTGTAAAATGTGAGGAAGGTGTTAACATTTTATTGTAAAATGTGAGGAAGGTGTTAACATTTTATTGTAAAATGTGAGGAAGGTGTTAACATTTTATTGTAAAATGTGAGGAAGGTGTTAACATTTTATGGTAAATGTGAGGAAGGTGTTAAAATTTTATTGTAAAATGTTAGGACGGGGTTAACATTTTATGGTAAATGTGGGGAAGGGGTTAACATTTTATGGTAAATGTGTGGAAGATGTTAACATTTTATTGTAAAATGTTAGGAAGGCGTTAATATTTGATGGCAAATGTGGGGAAGGGGTTAACATTTTATTGTAAAATGTGAGGAAGGTGTTAACATTTTATTGTAAAATGTGAGGAAGGTGTTAACGTTTAATTGTAAAATGTTAGAAAGGGGTAAACATTTTATCGTAAATGTCGGGAAGGGGTTAACATTTGATCGTGAAATGTGAGGAAGGGGTTAACATTTTATTGTAAAATGTGGGGAAGGTGTTAACATTTTATGGTAAAATGTTAGGAAGAGGTTAACATTTTATCGTGAAATGTGAGGAAGGGGTTAACATTTTATTGTAAAATGTGAGGAAGGGGTTAACATTTTATCGTGAAATGTGAGGAAGGTGTGAACATTTTATGGTAAAATGTTAGGAAGAGGTTAACATTTTTTATTGTAAAATGTGAGGAAGGGGTTAACATTTTATCGTGAAATGTGAGGAAGGTGTGAACATTTTATGGTAAAATGTTAGGAAGGTGTTAACATTTTATTGTAAAATGTGAGGAAGGTATTAACATTTTATTGTAAAATGTGAGGAAGGTGTTAACGTTTAATTGTAAAATGTTAGAAAGGGGTAAACATTTTATCGTAAATGTCGGGAAGGGGTTAACATTTGATCGTGAAATGTGAGGAAGGGGTTAACATTTTATTGTAAAATGTGGGGAAGGTGTTAACATTTTATGGTAAAATGTTAGGAAGGGGTTAACATTTTATCATAAATTATAAGTAAGGGGTTAACGTTTTATCATAAATTGTAAGTAAAGGGTTAACGTTTTATCATAAATTGTAAGGAAGGGGTTAACGTTTTATCATTAATTGTAAGTATGGGGTTAACGTTCTATCATAAATTGTAAGTAAGGGGTTAACGTTTTATCATAAATTGTAAGGAAGGGGTTAACGTTTTATCATAAATTGTAAGGAAGGGGTTAACGTTTTATCATAAATTGTAAGGAAGGGGTTAACGTTTTATCATAAATTGTAAGGAAGGGGTTAACGTTTTATCATAAATTGTAAGGAAGGGGTTAACGTTTTATCATAAATTGTAAGGAAGGGGTTAACGTTTTATCATAAATTGTAAGGAAGGGGTTAACGTTTTATCATAAATTGTAAGTAAGGGGTTAACGTTTTTTCATAAATTGTAAGTAAGTGGTTAACGTTTTATCATAAATTGTAAGTAAGGGGTTAACGTTTTATCATATATTGTAAGGAAGGGGTTGTATTTTTATCGTAAAATGTGAGGAAAAGGTTAACTTAGTCAATCTTAAATAGTGAAGAAGAGATGAACTTAACCCGACATTATGTTAGGTTATGTTATCTCACCCTCACTCTGGTTTAAATCTTCTCGTGTCAATTGAAACCTAGCTTTATTAGTTAACCCTATCAGCTAATTACTTGAATGCGTCCACGCTCTTCATCCGAATGTTAATTACCTTCCGACAGGTTTCAGTCCTCTTTCTACTCCATGCCTAAAATGTCCAATCTGGAGTCCAAGTTACGGACTGAGGATGTCTTCTTCACTGTGTTTGTGCCTGTTGATGACGCCTTTGATGCTGTTCCGAGATCTCGAGCAGACAAAATGCTGCAGGATGAATCATATATGGAGAAGGTGATATGTTGACGATGCAAGAGGAATAACTCTACGATATCAAGGAAATATACATACTCTGACGATCCTAGTCCTTCGCAATCGGTTACAATTGTCTGTCTTCGCTTGTCTTTATTTCTTAAGTCCTTTCGCAATCGGTTACAATTGTCTGTCTTCGCTAGGCTTTATTTCTTAAGTCCTTTCGCAATCGGTTACAATTGTCTGTCTTCGCTTGTCTTTATTTCTTAAGTCCTTTCGCAATCGGTTACAATTGTCTGTCTTCGCTAGGCTTTATTTCTTAAGTCCTTTCTCAATCGGTTATAATTGTCTGTCTTCGCTAGGCTTTATTTCTTAAGTCCTTTCTCAATCGGTTACAATTGTCTGTCTCCGCTAGGCTTTATTTCTTATGTCCTTTCTCAATCGGTTACAATTGTCTGTATTCGCTAGTCTTTATTTCTGTAGTCCGTTCGCAATCGGTTACAATTGGCTGGCCTCGTTATGCTTTATTTTCGTTTATTTTTCGCAATAAAGAAATAACTTTTAAATAACTGCCTTATCCTCGATAAGAAAAGAATAATTAAGATTCAAAATATAGTGGAAACTATCTTTAAAATCTTTGTTTAGGATAGCCATCCATTTTTGTAATTTCAAATACTATAAAGTAAAAACTGCTTTATAACTTTAGATACTTAAAGCTCACGTGGTTCCAAACATGAGTCTGTATGCTGAGGATTTCAATGACGGAGATCTTCTTTTGGCAGAAGAGGAGTTCATTCATATCATCAGAGAGGGGAAGGATGATGGTGAGGTCTACTGTCAAACACAGTGATTGTTCTGTTGTTACATACTGTATGATCCACGGTCAGTATATGACACAGTCTTATGTTGATGCGTATTGTTTTGAGCACTTGGTACACGGTAAGAAAATGTCGGTGCCGCCATTTTACCTACACACTACATAACCTTGATAATGATTATAATTATGAGCAGTAATCATTTATATGGTAGGTAAGTTATTGTATCGTATTATAATACAATTGTTCGTGGTCACTCACAAAAACATAACTTTATGGGTTGTATCTAGATTCTTATTAATATTGGAATGAAAATACAAAAGTAATGGACGGTGTTTAAGTTAGAAATAATCAGACATTCGAAAAATTACCATATTATAATATTGATTCACTGTTAACATTCAACCGATAACGAATGTTTGTGTTAATGACCGTCTTGGATGTTCACATCTAATTCAACCTGTTTGGCCGAAATTCACATTCTTCATGTCCACGGTATAATAAACTGTCTAAACTTTAGTACGCTACAGTCACGTGCAATAATCAGTTCGTGTATCTGTATTGAAAAGCGGTTTTTTTTTCTGGTGTGTGTTTCTTTTTTTTTTGTACTACATAACCTTGTAATGTTTCTAGTGTTTATATACACTGAACCAATCTATAACTATAGATATCTACTTTACATATATATGCCGAAAGATAATTGTCACTAATGTGTGTATTTTGTACTTTTGAGTTTAAATTCAACACATTCCATGGTAATCTCCATCTTATACTGTAGTCTCAAGTTACCCAAAATTTCATCTTAAATAACTACAAATAAAAAATATGTTGCAGTTGTAATTATCAATAATAACGTGAAAGCGAAGATACTTAAGAGCAACATCCGGGCCACTAATGGGAAGTTGCACGTGATCGATCGCCTGCTGTATTTCCCCTACCTGACAGTGGCGGAAACCATGGTGAACGATCCACGTTTCAGGTAAAACAGGATACATTAGTCGAATACAACGATTCAAACTTACACATTTATGATATGCTTAGTAACCTAGTTTAATGATATATCAATGTTATCAGAAACATTTACGTCACGTCGAACCTGATATGCAATTTTTCAACGTAACTATCAATTTACATTTTACCTGTTTAACGAAACGTTGTGTAAAATGTTAATAAAATCTTGCGTGCAATATGATATGTTTGGAAATACCAGATTAACGTGTTTCGGTCTTACATCGATTAAATCAATTTCGTGTGATGTTTCAACATTGACAATCTATTTTTCTTTGATTTCAGTGCATTCTACGATCTAATGTCCATTTTAGTGGAGTTCCAGTTAATGGCTGCTAACGACAACCAACAGATGACAGTATTCGTTCCCAGCGCCACCTTTCTGGCCTCGATATCGCATAACGAGTCCAGCGCTATTTTCACTACTCACGAAAACTTAAGACAGGTTATTGTTTTCTGTTTAGTAATATTGATATATATGCTATAATGACATTAAACAAGTAAATAAGTTTTAGTAACTATTTTACCTTCCGACATCAAAATCTATATTTATAGTTTATTACAGACAAGCATGCTTGCAAGGATCTATACATAGTTTTCAAACATCAATGTTTAACACGATGTTGTAAAACTGGTGTTTGTTTACGTTAACAGCATGCGTCAAGCAAACACATATATCACTTTTTATTGCGGCTGTAGTTAATTGTGTCTACGTATATATATTGTAACGTGTACGTTAAGGTATGGGTTAGTGTATATATATATATTGTAACGTGTACGTTAAGGTATGAGTTGATGTATGTATATATATTGTAAAGCGTACGTTAAGGTATGACTTGGTGTATGTATATATATTGTAACGTGTACGTTAAGGTATGAGTTGGTGTATGTATGTATATTATAACGTGTACGTTAAGGTATGAGTTGGTGTATGTATATATATTATAACGTGTACGTTAAGGTATGAGTTGGTGTATGTATATATATTGTAACGTGTACGTTAAGGTATGAGTTGGTGTATATATATATATATATATTATAACGTGTACGTTAAGGTATGAGTTGGTGTATGTCTATATATTATAACGTGTACGTTAAGGTATGAGTTGGTGTGTATATATATATATATTGTAACGTGTACGTTAAGGTATGAGTTGGTGTATGTATGTATATATATTGTAACGTGTACGTTAAGGTATGAGTTGGTGTATGTCTATATATTATAACGTGTACGTTAAGGTATGAGTTGGTGTATATATATATATTGTAACGTGTACGTTAAGGTATGAGTTGGTGTATGTATATATATTGTAACGTGTACGTTAAGGTATGAGTTGGTGTATGTATGTATATATATTATAACGTGTACGTTAAGGTATGAGTTGGTGTATGTATATATATTGTAACGTGTACGTTAAGGTATGAGTTGGTGTATATATATATATATATTATAACGTGTACGTTAAGGTATGAGTTGGTGTATGTATATATATTATAACGTGTACGTTAAGGTATGAGTTGGTGTATGTATGTATATTATAACGTGTACGTTAAGGTATGAATTGGTGTATGTATGTATATTATAACGTGTACGTTAAGGTATGAGTTGGTGTATGTCTATATATTATAACGTGTACGTTAAGGTATGAGTTGGTGTATGTATGTATATTATAACGTGTACGTTAAGGTATGAGTTGGTGTATGTATGTATATATATTATAACGTGTACGTTAAGGTATGAGTTGGTGTATATATATATATATATATATTATAACGTGTACGTTAAGGTATGACTTGGTGTATGTCTATATATTATAACGTGTACGTTAAGGTATGAGTTGGTGTATATATATATATTGTAACGTGTACGTTAAGGTATGAATTGGTGAATGTATGTATATATATTATAACGTGTACGTTAAGGTATGATTTGGTGTATGTATGTATATATATTATAACGTGTACGTTAAGGTATGAGTTGGTGTATGTATATATATTGTAACGTGTACGTTAATTTATGAATTGGTGAATGTATGTATATATATTATAACGTGTACGTTAAGGTATGAGTTGGTGTATGTATATATATTGTAACGTGTACGTTAAGGTATGAATTGGTGAATGTATGTATATATATCATAACGTGTACGTTAAGGTATGAGTTGGTGTATGTATATATATTGTAACCTGTACGTTAAGGTATGAGTTGGTGTATGTATATATATTATAACGTGTACGTTAAGGTATGAGTTGGTGTATGCATATATATTGTAACGTGTACGTTAAGGTATGAGTTGGTGTATGTATATATATTGTAACGTGTACGTTAAGGTATGTGTTGGTGTATGTATATATATCATAACGTGTACGTTAAGGTATGAATTGGTGTATATATATATTATAACGTGTACGTTAAGGTATGAGTTGATGTATGTATATATATTATAACGTGTACGTTAAGGTATGAGTTGGTATATATATATATATATTATAACGTGTACGTTAAGGTATGAGTTGGTGTATGTATATATATATATTATAACGCGTACGTTAAGGTATGAGTTGGTGTATATATATATATATATATTGTAACGCGTACGTTAAGGTATGAATTGGTGTATGTATATATATTATAACGTGTACGTTAAGGTATGAGTTGGTGTATATATATATATATTATAACGTGTACGTTAAGATATGAGTTGATGTATGTATATATATTGTAACGTATACGTTAAGGTATGAGTTGGTATATATATATATATATTATAACGTGTACGTTAAGGTATGAGTTGGTGTATATATATATATTATAACGTGTACGTTAAGGTATGAGTTGATGTATATATATATATATATTATAACGTGTACGTTAAGGTATGAGTTGGTGTATATATATATATATATTATAACGTGTACGTTAAGGTATGAGTTGGTGTATATATATATATTATAACGTGTACGTTAAGGTATGAGTTGGTGTATATATATATATTATAACGTGTACGTTAAGGTATGAGTTGGTGTATGTATATATATTATAACGTGTACGTTAAGGTATGAGTTGGTGTATGTATATATATTGTAACGTGTACGTTAAGGTATGAATTGGTGTATGTATGTATACATATTATAACGTGTACGTTAAGGTATGAGTTGGTGTATGTATATATATTGTAACGTGTACGTTAAGGTATGAGTTGGTGTATGTATATATATTGTAACGTGTACGTTAAGGTATGAATTGGTGTATGTATGTATATATATTATAACGTGTACGTTAAGGTATGAGTTGGTGTATGTATATATATTGTAACGTGTACGTTAAGGTATGAGTTGGTGTATGTCTATATATTATAACGTGTACGTTAAGGTATGAGTTGGTGTATGTATGTATATTGTAACGTGTACGTTAAGGTATGAATTGGTGTATGTATGATTATATATTATAACGTGTACGTTAAGGTATGAGTTGGTGTATGTATATATATTGTAACGTGTACGTTAAGGTATGAGTTGATGTATGTATATATATTGTAACGTGTACGTTAATGTATGAGTTGGTGTATGTATATATATATATATATATATATATTGTAACGTATATATATTATAACGTGTACGTTAATGTATGAGTTGGTGTATGTATATATATATATATATATATATTATATATATATATATATATATATATTGTAACGTGTACGTTAAGGTATGAGTTGGTGTATGTATATATATTGTAACGTGTATGTTAAGGTACGAGTTGATGTATATATATTATATTATAATGTGTACGTTAAGGTACGAGTTGATGTATATATATATATTATAACACAGATACTAATTTGGGGGAATTTACATGAATGAAGTATATTATAGACACTATATAATGAGTACCAACTTGGATTTATTGTTTTAGATATTTAATGGTCACGTGATCCCTGACGCCAGATTAGACAGTATGTACTTGAGGCAGAATTTTGTTAACGAGTACGTGTTCACGGGAAACAATACAACGTTTAGATTTGAGGACAAAAACGAAGGTATGGATATAACTATCAATTATCGACGACCTGCCGGTCACTAAAGTAATATATAACATATCGAAACATGCATCTTGTATCTAATGGGCAACAGAAATCATGATGTGCGTATGATTAGCGAGAAGTGTATCTTAAACTCCTTCTCTTGCATAAAGACTTGGATTAGAATAAATAAAAAGAACGTTATCCTACTGCTGACCCCATTGCTACCTTTTCTGATTGTCTACAAAGTTTGGGGTTTAGGTAAAGGTTTAAAAATATCAACATCGATGTTACTCAGTACGAACGACACTTTGTAGCGTTACGCGTCTATGACAACGGCCATGGCAACATGTAATGGAATGTATTCAGTTATAACAAACTTCCGAAGTTCGTCTGAAAGGCATATATTGTTGTATTGATAGTAGAAATATATTCAGGAATACAACAGCAAAACACTGCAAAGATACCTACTGTTGGTTTCGGGATACCTACTCCCGTCAACATAAGGTAACTGCATCAATAGACACGAGTCTCTAGGCTCTCGCACAAAAAATCTAACTTATAACACACATATGTTAATAAGAAAATATCGAATATTTTAACTCTGCTTTTACACCATAAAGACTACAATAAGATTTTGAAATGATAATGCAACTCGGCCATTTAAGCGGCCGCGTCGTTAACATCGTGATGTCATTAATTTAGAGACTATTACAATGTATAATTGACATTAAAACGTTAGCATTAATATAAGTATTACAATGTATAATTGACATTAAAACGTTAGCATTAATATAAGTATTACAATGTATAATTGACATTAAAACGTTAGCATTAATATAAGTATTACAATGTATAATTGACATTAAAACGTTAGCATTAATATAAGTATTACAATGTATAATTGTCATTAAAACGTTAGCATTAATATAAGTATTACAATGTATAATTGACATTAAAACGTTAGCATTAATATAAGTATTACAATGTATAATTGACATTAAAACGTTAGCATTAATATAAGTATTACAATGTATAATTGACATGAAAATAATAACATATATAACTATAACTATATATATGACTTAACAGATATAATAGAGTTAATGTAGTGTTGTTTATATCATATTATGATATATTATATTATATAGTGTTATAAATGATGGCTCAAAACTGTCTAAACCTTCCCTTTGGCATAGGTATTTGATGGATTTTTTTCCCGCCGATGATGGTCACATCTTACTTCGAAATATGTTTTATGTCTGCAGTGTGACTCTTTTATGATTTTAGATTACCACGTCTTATCCATCGGTACACAACGGTACAAAATATAAAAACACGCGATACTAGTCATAATGTCAGCTTCGTAATACACCATCCATAATATTGTCGTATCATACAATGTTTTTTGCTTTTTGTTCACCTGATCAGAAACATATAGATCTAAGATTAAGGCTTGCACACGGAAAAGCACGCATTTTGTAAAATTTATTGAAATATTTGTCACAACAAAAACATAAACCACTTATGCGGAACTATAAATAACATAGATTTCTGGGCATGAGTGTATTCAGCATCATTTCATCACTTGTACATATGATATTGTTGTCTTGTTTATCTATACAGGTGTAACAATCAGTGCGGGCTACAGTAACTTGTACCAAAAATTAGATATAGTCCGGGATGGCGTGGCTTGTAGTAATGGTATTTTATATACAATAGACGGATTCCTTAGTTGGTCACTCCTAAATCTCAGACAAGAACTTGATTCAGACGCAACACTCAAGTAAGTTTTTCCTATATGCAAAGCGACTGTCCTTATAACAATTAAAATCGATGTAGTTAAACGATACAGTAATTCGATTATAAATTACTTAAGCACATTTAAAAGTATTTATAATCATCATTATCTCTTACATATATATGTTTCGGTATCTCAATGTACGGAATGTGTTGTCCTTATTTCACAGCGACACAGCACGACGTTTTATGGACTTTCTACCCGAAGACGTTGAAGACATGTTCGAAGACGAAGGGCAGATTTATACCCTGTTTTTACCCGAGATGGCGTCATTTCGAGATATCAAGAGTGATTTTCATCCCAACGATACCGACAAAGAAGGAGTAAGAATGATACATATGTTAGGTGTATCACAATGAAACATTAAGATGATAATGGGGATGTTTTAAGATTGATTATCACTGAGCAGTATGCTTTAATAGCGTATGATATTTATGAACAAACATGTTTCTAATCTTATTCATAAGGTTGTAATGAACTTCTTGTGGCAATATTAAAAAAATATGAATATCACGCAAGTAGGTAACAGAACCCTTAAAAAATCCCATTATAGTGTCACCATGGTAACAAGTCCGTGACATCATATCCCTGACACCATATCCCTGACATCATATCCGCCCTTAGTTCAGTGACAATATCAACGTCAAAAACCGACTGTACCAACCTTCTGGACCTTTTTCGTCAGGAAACAGAACCCAGTTAATTTCCTCAGTTAAGTAAACGGTCGATACTGAAGTGTAAAATGAGATTCTGAGAAGCGATGAAAACATGTTAATAGGAGATGTTGAGCAATTCAGAATTTGAATTCAATCGCCTTTCACGATTTGTGCAATGGAGACACTAGGTGTACCCTACCTTTCGGATATCTACTATAAGTTATGTCATGAATGATGTATATAGAACAAGGCATCATCCGTTTTGTTTGTATTTTCTATGCAGTAATCGTTTTGATCAAATTTCTAATATAGTTAACGCAATACTATATTATTATTTCATAACCGACGAATATCACAAGTGATTTTTTCAATGACATGTTACAGGTATTCAGACGTCACGTGGTCAATGGCAGTGCCATCACATTGGCTGATTTCATAAAAGTTGGAAATTCAAGTGACAACGACACTGGAAATGCTAACAACATTGTTCGTGGCGAAGGTAACCTTTTATTGAAACTAATTTACCGAAAAATCCTAGAATTCGATATCTATAAACGATACTATCATATTTATACACAACGTAGCACGAGGCAAATGTGACGAGTCAGACTTCAGTTGAACATTTTCTAAAATCATTCCAAGCATTCATGGCAACATAATTCATGGCGAACATTTCACTTTTTTCTAAAACTAGCTTCAGTATAGTGTACCGATTGTTCTTACAATTCTCTCTCTCGAAATGGAGGGTGACCTTTAACCTTTTACTGGGATTTTTATTCCCCAAGTAAAATGATGTAAAATATTTCAAACATGAAACAGGAATTTTGTTTTTAGAATTTGCATTTCTAAAAAAGTTACTCACCTTTTCTGTTCAGCGGTGTAGAACTGAAATATGTTTCTTAGTAAAGCGAAATCTAGACTTTGGAATGAATTCCTACACCATGTAAATAGATGACATCATTACGGTTTCATTCAAATATTTTCCTTTCAGATGGTTTCCTGTACTGGAATGGAATTGAAGCAAAGATAATTAAATCTGATATATTAGCAAAGAATGGAATCATTCATGTCGTAGATAAAATGTTACTGTTGATTCCGAAACAGGAAATATCGACCCGGAAGGGAGCATTAGAACCCGGAGTCGGAGTTGTGATAAAATCAGACATTTTATTATTATTAGTGACCTGCAGTATTAGTTTATATATAATGTGTGTGATGCGGTGATTAATAATTAACAATTATAAAAAAAATAGTGAGAGGTATGTATACAAATATGGCAGCAAATTGAAACGAATCTCTTGATTCAATGGTGGGCACTCCATAAGGGCCATATTCAATTGTGGACAGTCCATGACGACTATACTCCACGGTGGACAGTCCGTGACGACTATACTCCACGGTGGACAGTCCATGACGACTATACTCCACGGTGGACAGTCCGTGACGACTATACTCCACGGTGGACAGTCCGTGGCGACTATTCTCCACGGTGGACAGTCCGTGACGACTATACTCCACGCTGGACAGTCCATGACGACTATACTCCACGGTGGACAGTCCGTGACGACTATACTCCTCGCTGGACAGTCCGTGACGACAATACTCCACGGTGGACAGTCCGTGGCGACTATACTCCACGCTGGACAGTCCGTGACGACTATACTCCACGGTGGACAGTCCGTGGCGACTATACTCCACGGTGGACAGTCCGTGACGACTATACTCCACAGTGGACAGTCCGTGGCGACTATTCTCCACGGCGGACAGTCCGTGACGACTATACTCCGCACTGGACAGTCCGTGACGACTATACTCCACAGTGGACAGTCCGTGACGACTATACTCCACGGTGGACAGTCCGTGGCGACTATACTCCACGCTGGACAGTCCGTGACGACTATACTCCACGGTGGACAGTCCATGATGACTATACTCCACGCTGGACAGTCCGTGACGACTATACTCCACGGTGGACAGTCCGTGACGACCAGGTTATCTGTATTCTCTATTTGTTATGACGATTTGTTCGTGCTCGTCTCTGTTTTAGTTAGGCCCGTTTGTGAATAGTTACCATGGAATCAACTTATCGTTCAAATGCTATATATGTTTTGTTTTGACGTTCAGCAATGTCATTTGTCAATCGATAAATTTCATCTACATCGACAAGCCAATGATTTGACGAAAGCAAAATTAGAAGCTGTATAAATTGTTACAGATCGTACCCGTAAGATATTAGCTGTAGTTTGATACAACATTCCACACTGATGAGGTATACGTGTGACGTGTATACCCTCTAACCCTAAGAAATCATACCACTTACTTTGCTATTTTATATGCATGCTGTTTGTTGTAAGTACAGAGATGATAATACATTCCTCTTCACATTGCTCGTGATTAGTCAAATGTTTATGTAACTAATGGTTCACTTGACATGGGGATTTCCATATTCTTGACTTCATTGTAGGACATGAACCGATATCGGTTATTGTTTACTCAATACTGCGGTATTCTCGATGAATGTTAATCCGATTTCCTAAGTTAAATCCAATGTCACCATATAATGTAGCCTCCAAGCCTTCATGCATTATTTTAACTTTCTGTTAAATCCTAGTTTTCACGAATCATTAGTAACGGATTTTACTTAGTCTTCTTACCTAAGTATGGCTTTTTAGCTTTGAAATTGCACCAATGGGATACAGTGTCATTAACATAAACGGCGTTTTTTAGATGTACCCGTACGTGTTTATGTGATCCCATCTACCCGTTGTACTCGAGTTAAGGTTTTTGAGTCATTATTATCATTGAGAACGTGTACTGCTTTGACTATTGACTCCATGTCGTACGTTCCTCATCGGTTCTGTGACCTTTATGTAGACTTGTTACTATTTGCTTAAAGTTTCCTGTCAACATTTATTGCGTAATTTGCTCTCTGCGGCATTTTACTCTCACTATAGATTACTTCCGAAAAACTGACAATTAAACGTAAACAATATTCCCGATGTTGTTTCTAAATATCAACACGAATTTGTCCAGTCCATGTTTTTACTGTAGATCTGCTAATGCCTATGTACGCGTGTTATTACATTCTGCTTAAGATGCGATGTTTTTTGTTTCATTTATAAACCATTAACTTGTTTTTTAGGAATAGGAACCGACATCAACAGTAAAATAAAAAACTGCGACCTTACGTTAGTTCCCAATATACGATGAATTACCATAACATATTTAACGTCATAGTCAATAATAGCCATTGTAACATTATTCTGCAGCAGGACCACGCACGGCTACTTTATTATATTTTTTTTATTCTGTTCGTAAAGTCAACATTTTGACAATACAAAGTGATAAACATTACATGAACTGTACACTGTACGTGAAAAATATATGTTTACATGTTAAAAAATCTTAATATGAAAATAACTATCTATATAAATATCATACCGTATTGACAATTTAACTGTCGGACTGTAGATATCTGAATTTACTTACTTTCGAACGTCTCATTGTAATATGTGTCACTCTGTTGAATTAAAACATTTTATACAAAAATATTTGTATGTTTTTCTTAATGCTTAGAGATTTCCTTTTTGAAGTATGACTTAATGTTATCATTTCACATCAGATTTATTCTAGATTTATAGCCAAATATTGATTATAGAAATATAATCGTCCAAATTGCAAAAGTTTAATGACAGCGAAATTTCGTCGTATGCAATGTTTGTTACATTCGATGTGAACTGTCTAACAAATGTTTTGATAAAAACATCAGCTGAATGTAGTCAGGTGTACATCCTACCAAGGATCAGTTGTTTACTGGACAGGGCTAGGCTTATACATAGATAATGTACATATAAGGTTTATGTATTCGAACCATTTATGTGCAGTTTATGTAATTGACATGACAATTAATCATGAATAAAGTGTCACAATTTGTATTGTTCCTGTTATCTGATGTAGGTTTAGGTAATTACAATAGCAAATTCATGATATTCTGATATATTCTGGTTATAACTTTGTCATTTTGAAGCGATTACGATCCGTTGTGTATCAATATGTGATTGTCAATATCGGAACGGTTTTACCCACTTTCCTTCTCCGCCTAACAATCTGTATTCAAAGATTTTAATCCATAGTCACATAGGTGTTTAATCCATAGTCACATAGGTGTTTAATCCATAGTCACAAAAGTGTTTAATCCATAGTCACAAAGATTTTTAATCCATAGTCACAAACATGTTTAATCCATAGTCACAAAGATTTTTAATCCATAGTCACAAACATGTTTAATCCATAGTCACAAAGATTTTTAATCCATAGTCACAAACATGTTTAATCCATAGTCACAAAGGTCCCTCAGTATTAAGAGTCGGGGTTAGCACTAAGCTGACATTTCTCGAAGATTGACTTTCTTGTTCAACTATCTACTCAAATTGTTTCTGTGTATTCTTTAATCTGCATAGCAACTCTGTGCTGGTGATTATCAAAAGTCTGTGTACACGTACACTGTTTAAACCTTCAAGTGTCTACAGTGAGTCTTCATAGTGCCAGGAAAAAAGCATTGTTGTCCGTATTACTGAAATATGCCCATGTCTTGCTGCAAAATCCTGGTCCACAACAGTTAGCGTCGAAATAAATATTTTTTCCACAATTTATGCAAGACTCGTGGATCATATAATTCAGATACATTTTGAGATATTGGAGAACCGTAACCATGACTACACTCTAATCGGCACGAATTAGGGTCGAAGGCGGCGATATTCACCCTTTTAATATCCTCTGAGATATGTAAACTTTATTAATACGATGGAAATCTTCAGTCATTCCACACCCCACTTGGTCATATTACAAGGGTGTCATTGTACAAATGTATGTAATCAATGCTATCTTATAATGACAATTATGTTATTAGTAGTCCTACAACTGGGCTGTAAGATTTTACAAAAAAAAAAAAAAAAAAAAACAAGTTAAAAGCACATTCTAATAATTAAAACGTTAGATATAGTATAGCCATATGAATCACATCACACCATTGTTTCGTTCTTCTAGGACTGATTGGTGATGTTAAGAACCTACATTTTGAAGCCTAGGAGGCGACTAAGGAAATTCAACAGTGACCGAAAGAAAAAGAAAAATATAGATGCGGAGGTGTAGATAAAAAGGAAATGAATCGTTTTCGTTTTCAACAATAAATTAAAAAAAAAAAAAAAAAAAAAACAAAGACACAGTGGTCATTTGAAGGCGATCACCAGATGTTTTCGGGAATCGGTGAACTAGCGATCGAGATGGTAACATAATTACTTTAATCTATGCTAAAACTCTCTTAGAATCTATAAATCTTGAGATTGCAAGGTTGATACTTGGGTAACTGTTATGAGTGGTTTGTTACATGTGGTATATATAATAAATGTAATATGATGGTATATGTTACAAGTGGTGTATATTACATGATGTGAGTGGTATATGTTATGAGTGGTAAATTTTATAAGTTGTAAATGTTACGTCTGGTACGTGTTATGAAAGATATATGTTACTAATAGTACATGTTATGAATGGTATATTTTTAAAGTGGTATACGTTACAGGTTGGTACGTGTTGATAGTGGCATATGTCACAGGTGCGACAGAGAACGATTCGTAAAATGAGATACGTGTTATGAGTTTTATGTTATGAATTTCTTATATGTTACAAGTGGTACGTGTTATGACTGGTTTGTTACATGTAATTAATGTAATAAGATATATGTGGTATATTTTACTAATGGTATAAGTTACAAACAGTACGTGTTATGATGGGTATATGTTACTTGTGGTACGTGTTTATAGATGGTAAATTTTACAAGTTCTAAATGTTATGAGTGTTACGTGTTATGAGTGAAATTTGTTAAAACTAGTATGTGTTCTTACTGGGATATGTTACAAAAGTTATATGTTATGTATGCTATATGTTACAAGTGGTACGTGTTATGAGTGGTTGGTTACATGTGGTGTATATAATAATGTAATATGATATATGATGGTATATGTTACAAGTTGATACGTGTTGAGAGTGGTATATGTCACAGGTGTGAGAGAGAACGATTTGTAAAATGAGATACGTGTTATGAGTTTTATATGTTATGAATGCTATATGTTACAAGTTATACATGTTGATGGGTGATAAATTTTACAAGTTCTAAATGTTATGAGTGTTACGTGTTATGGGTGACATTTGTTAAAGTAGTGTATGTTCTTACTGGAATATGTTACAAAAGGTATATGTTATGAGTTAGGTTTAGGGTTAGGGTTAGGGTTAGGGTTAGGTTATGAGTGATATATGTTACTAATTGTACATGTTGCTATCTGTGACAAGTTATACATGTTGATGGGTGTTAAATTTTACAAGTTCTAAATGTTATGAGTCTTACGTGTTATGAGTGACATTTGTTAAAGTAGTGTATGTTCTTACTGGAATATGTTACAAAAGGTATATGTTATGAGTTAGGTTTAGGGTTAGGGTTAGGGTTAGGGTTAGGTTATGAGTGATATATGTTACTAATTGTACATGTTGCTATCTGTGACAAGTTATACATGTTGATGGGTGTTAAATTTTACAAGTTCTAAATGTTATGAGTGTTACGTGTTATGGGTGACATTTGTTAAAGTAGTGTATGTTCTTACTGGAATATGTTACAAAAGGTATATGTTATGAGTTAGGTTTAGGGTTAGGGTTAGG